TATTCTTCTTTTAAGCCCAACTTTCCTTTGTTTCGATCGCAGCCTCACTGACAGTCAGTCTGGATGTGTGTCCTTCAGTCGGTTTTCATGAGGTGGTCACGATCTGCGAAACGGGTTTGTGCGACACTCTAAGATTAAGATCAACAACCAACACTGTCGTCTCCCTCAGCAATTCTGGTTGCCTGGGTCCCGAAGTTGGGCCGACTCCTCGTGTCACTGGGCGGCTTGTGTTGGACTTGAGCGATTGACCGTCGGTGGACTGAGTCTTCTGTACCTGTGCACTAGAGACGAGCTTACCTTGTCCCAGAGCCCAATTGTGGTGTTGTTTACTTTTCCTACTTATCTCTTCACTTCACTCCTTCACTGTCCTCGCATCAGTCTTCGGCTCTGGGTTCTCGTGGCCTCCATGTCTGGCCGTCCGATTGGGTCCAGTTAGGCCAGACTCGCCTCGGTGACAAGTCACGTGGTGGAGGAGAAGCCGTGGACCGGCTGAAGGGGCTGGCAAAGGGGAGACGAAGCAACGAGTGGGGCCGAGAGGACGACCGGTTGCCGTAGTAGTCGGTCGGACGGCCGGTTTCAGAAGGCGTAATCGCATGAAATTCTATAATCACTCCTGCCTCTGATATGGGCAGTGATTCTCTCGCAGTCTCTGACGCACGTCTCACACTGCGTCTTGTGCATTTTGTGTACGTGTCAGGCACCGGACGCATTGGCGCTGTTCGTCTGTCCATCTATCAACTTGACATGCGGACAGGCCCACAAGTGAGTACGAGCCAGACGAGTGTATGCATCCTGGACGCAATCTACTATTGTTTGTGTCTGTGCGATTTGGTAGGATGGAGTGGATAATTTACCGAAAGCAAACAGACATACAGACATACAGACAGACGACGAGATCCCCTCGGGGGCGACAGAAAAAGGCCAACTAAGGCTGTTTTCTTTTGGGCCAAATAAGGACACGTCTTAGGCTTGCCGCAGCAACAGGACAGGGTACAGATAGAGGTTTGCTGCGCATACTCAGGCACTGATCTCTCCCTGTGCCCTCGACTTCAAGGTGCCTGGCTCGAATGTATATATATATATATTTGTGTGTGTGAATGTGTGTGTGTGTGTGTGTGTGAAGTCGATATTTGGGCTAGGCAAGGCAAGAAACCGCAATCTAGCGGCTGGCCAAGAGACTCGGTTGTGCAGAGGGTGGGGGAAGCGGTTAGACAACGGGAAACGAGGGGTGTAATGTTGTTGTCAGTAGTTGTGGTCAAACTGAGGGTCAGATGGCCCGAAGGAAGGAGTACCGGCTGAGAGGGGAGGAGTCTCGCAGAGCGGGCGGGTCGTCCGAATCTGTGGTTGAGTGGAGGTACGGGCTTCGATTACAACAGCATGTCCGGGATAGGAGATTTTCGGCTCGATTACACAGGCACTCGCCTTCCCCGTCGGTTTGGACAGGTTGTTACCGGGGCTGCCGGCCAGCAGGCTTGTAGAGTCACCGGGCTCGCGGACTGTTTAGACCGCCAGGACCGGGGGAGGAGGTGAGGCATCGGCAGGCGTGTAAATTACACATTCGCCTCCGGCCCACCGGGCGCTGGTGGACGAGCCGACATGCAGACGGACAGACGGACGCACCGCAGTTAGAGACAAGCATGTCGAGTCGGAGAGGCAGGCGGCCAAGGGCATCACCCTCCTCGTCATCTTCAGCGTCATCAGCATCATCAGCAGCAGCAGTAGCCGAGAGGGCAGAAGCGCGTACTTTGAAGAAGTGGGCCAAGTTCGAGTCCGTGAGGCTGGCTCGAAGAGGCCGGAGTCAGAGCTCTTGGCTCCGCCCACAATGGACCGTCTCAGACACTGGCCCAGCCTCGAAGATGGCACCGCCGAGCTTAACTCCGAATTGCCAACCCGCGCCCTCTTTTTTACGGCGGACCGTTCATTGCATTGTGCTTCGACAGTTGTGTCAAGCAATCCGTTGATTATGGTACGTCTGTGTTTAAAAGGAAGATAAGAGAAGCTATTG